CCTTCTGATAACCATCAGTTTGATCTTCATTTCTATGTGCCTGTTTTTGTTTGGTTAATTATTATTATTTTTTAGATTCCACATATAAGTGACACCACACAGTATTATTGTCTTTCTCTGACTTATTTCAGTTATAATACCTCTGGGTCTATCTATGTTGTTGAAAATGGCAAGATTTCATTCTTTTTATTGCAACATAATATTCTATTGCATATATATATGCCACATCTTCTTTAGCCATTCATCTATTGATGGACATATACATTGCTTCCATATTATAATGTCACAGTGAACATAGGTGGCATATATCTTTTTGAATTTGTGTTTATCTCCTCTGCCCATTTTTTATTGGGTTATTGTTTTGAGTTGTTTGAGGTTTCTTGTATAATTTGAATATCAGTGCCCCCCCCACCTTATTGGATATATCATTTGTGAATATATTCTTCCATTCAGTAGGTTGTCTTTTTGTTTTATTAATGGTTCACTTTGCTGTACAGAATCTTTTTAGTTTGACGGAGTCCTATTTATTTTTTATTTTGTTTGTTTCTCAGGTTGAAGGGTATGTATTCAAAAGGACATTACTCAGACTGATTTCAGATAATTTACTACCTATGTTTTCTTCTATTCTTCTATGAGCTTTATGGTTTCAAGTCTTACATTTAAATCTTTAATCTATTTTGAGTTTATCTTTCTATATGGCATAAGAGAGTGGTCCAGTTTTCCCAATACCACTTGTTGTATGTTCCATTTTTGTGCCAGTACCATACTGTTTTGATTACTATGGCCTTGTATTATAGTTTGAAATTAGGGAACATGATACTCCCAACTTTTTTCTTAAGATTTCTTTGGCTATTCAGGTTCTTTTGTGGGTTCCATATAGGATTATTTGTTCTAAGAAGAATGTCATTGGTATTTTGATAGGGATTACATTGAATCTGAAAATTGCTTTCAGTAGTATAGTCAGTCATATTAAGCCCTCCATCTATTTCTGTCTGCTTCAGTATCATTGTTTTCAGAGTACAGGTCTTTCACCTGCTGGTTATTCTTAGGTATTTTCTTATGCAGCTGTAAATGGGATTGTGTTCTTAATCTGTCCTTCTCACAGTTTATTATTAGTGTATAGGAACATAACAGACTTCTGTATATTAATTTTTTTGGTCAGTTCTTTAAGGTTTTCTGTACATACAATTATGTTGTCTGCAAACATTGACAGTTTTAGTTCTTCCTTTCCCATTGGAATGCTTTTTATTTCTCTTTCTTGTCTGATGCTGTGGCTGGGACTTCCAGTACTATATTGAATAACAGTGGTGAGGTAGGTATTCTTGTCTTGATCTTAGAAGAAAAGCTTTCAGCCTCTCACCATTGAGTATGTTGTTTGCTGTGGGCTTGTCATATGTAGCCCTTATTAAGTTGAGGTAAGTATGCATCCCTTACGCCTTATTCATCGAGAGTTTTTTTCTGCATCTATTGAGATAATCACATGGTTTTTATCCTTGGTTTGGTTAATGCGAGGACATTAATTATTCTGTGGATGTTGAGTCCTTCTTGCATACTGGTATGAATCGCACTTGATCATGGTATATAATCCCTTCAATGTACTGTTAAATTCAGTTAGCTAGTATTTTGTTGAGAATGTTGGCATCTATGTTAGGGACTTGGGTCTATACTTCTTTTACTTTTCTGGTTTTGGTATCAGGGTTTGGCTGGTCTCCTACAATGAGTTTGAAACCATTTCTTCCTGTTTAATAATTTGGATAGGTACTGATTTTTCTTTAAATGTTTGGTAGAATTCACCTGGGAAGCCGTCTGGTCGTAGGGTTTTGTTTGTTGGGAGTCTTATTTTTACTGCTTTAGTTTCATTGCTAATAACTGGTATATGCAGATTCTCTGTTTCTTGCTGGTTTAGTCTTGGTAAGTTCTAATTTTCTTGGAAATTAAGATTGAATCATGAAGAACTGGAAAATCTGATACCATTACTGATTCAATTTTACAAATAACCAAAAATCTCCCAAAAAACAAGTCAAGGACCAGACAGCTTTACTGATGAATTCAAAGAAGAGTTAATACCAATCTGTCTCAAACTCTTCCAAAAAAATAAACAGAAGGAAGAGGAACACTTGCATATTTCATTTTTTGAGGCCAACATTGTTTTAACCAAATGTTGACAAGATGCCACAAGAAAAGAAAATTCAGGTCCATATCACTGATAAATCTAGATACAGAAATCCTCAATAACAATAATACATTAAAAGAACCACACACAGTGATCAAGTGAGATCAATACAGGATGCAACCATGGTGCAGTACCCACAGATCAGTCACTGTTGTTCACCACATGAACAAAATGAAGAAAAAATTGATTATTTAATAGATGCAGAAAAAGCTCTTGACAAATTTGATTTAATATCTATATATAATACAAAAAAAACAAATATGCCATATTGAACAGACCCACTGCTGCTATCATACTCAATGATGAAAAGCTGAAAGCTTTTTCTCTAAAATCAGGAACAAGAGAAGGATGCCCACTTTTGCTAGTTTTATTTAACAGTACTAGAAAGCTTTGCCATGGAAGTTAGGCAACCAAATCAGAGAGAGAGAAAATTGTCAGTATTTGCATGTGAAGACTTCACCTGGAAACTGTTAGAGCTAATCAGTGAATTCAGGAAAGTTTCCAGAGATAAAGCAATATACAAAAATCTGTTATGTTTCTATACATATAGTAAACTATCAGAAAGAGAAATAAAGAAAATCTCATTTACAATTGCATTAAAGGATAAAATACCTAGGAATAACTTTAACCAAGGAGTTGAAAGACCTATACACTGAAAATTATACAATATTTATATTGATGAAAAACTGAAGATCATAGATTGTTAAAATGACCATATTGCCCATAGCAATCTACAGATTTGATGCAATTCCTATCAAAATTCCAATGGCACATCTCACAGAAGCAGAGAAAAAATTCTAAAATGTGTATGGGACCCCCAAATACCCTAAATTGTGAAATCAGTTTTAAGAAGAACAAAACAGGAGGCATCACACTCCCTGATTTCAAACTATACTACAAAATAGCAATCAAAACAGTATGGTGTTGCATAAAAACAGACACATAGATCAATGGAACAGAATAAAGAGCCCAGAAATAAAGCCATGCCTACACAGTCAATTAATGACAAAGGGGCCAAAAATATACAGTAGGAAAAAAACTAGTCTCATCAACAAATAGCGTTGGGAAAACTGGACAGCCAGATGCAAAAAGAAACTGGACCCCTATCTTATACCATACACAAAAATTAACTCAAAAGAGATTAAAGACTTGCATGTTAGAAAGCCATGAAACTTCTAGAAGAAAATATAGGCAGTAATCTTGAATCAGTCATGGCAATGATTTTTTTGGACCTGATACTAAAAGCAAATGTAAACAAAGAGGAGGACCTCAAGCTAAAAAGCTTTTGCACAGCAAAGGAAACCGTCAACAAAATGGTATGTAACATACTGAATGGGAGAAAATATTCACAAGTTGCATATTTGATAATGGGTTAATATCCAAGTATATAAAGAACTCATAAAACCCAATAGCAAAAATAAAATGGATAGAAGATCTGAATCAACATTTTCCTAAAGAAGACTCTGCAGGTGACCAACAGGTACATAAAGAGATGCTCAATGTCACACTAATCATTAGGGAAATGAAATGAAAACCAGTTAAATAGTTCACATCTGTTAGAATGGCTGCTATCAAAAAGACATAACAGATTTCAGTTAGGGTGTGAAGAAAAGGAAACTCTTGTGCACTTTTGGTGGAAATGTAGATCGGTACAGCCACTATGTAAAACAGTATAGAGGTTTGTTAAAAAAAATTAAGACTAGAAGTATCATATAATCCAGCAATTCCACTTCTGGGTATATATCTGAAGGAAATAAAAATCACTATTTTGAAAACACTATAATCACCCCAATGTTCACTGTAGTGTTATTACAATGGGCAAGACATGGAAACAAACTGAGTGTGCATTAATACATAAATGGATGTACAAAAAGAAAATGTACAATTGGATACTATTTAGTCATTAAAAGGAATGGCATCTTGCCATTTGCGACAACATGGGTGGATGTTGAGTGCCTAAATCAGACAGATGACAACAAATACCACATATGTGGAACTTTAGAAAGTACAAATACAGAAAGCCAAATTCCTGGATATAGAGAATAGATTGGTGGCTGCAGGTGGGGTGAACAAAATGGATAAAGTGGGTCAAGGGTACAAACTCCTAGTTCCATATATAAAATGTCATGGGGGTGTGATACACAGCATGGTGGCTGCAGTTAATATTACATCAATTATCAGAATGCTCCTAAGAGAGTAGATCTTCAAAGTTCTCATCAAAAGAAAAAATATGTAACTATGTATGGTGACAGATGTTTACTATACGTATTGTGGTGATCATTTTGCAATATATATATAAGTATCAAATTATTATGTTGTATACCTGAAACAAATATAATCGGTTATACCTCAACAACAAATATACAAATAGATGTAAAATAAATTTTTAAAAGTACTCATCAAGATCAGCTTGAAAGGTCAAGTTTATAGAGTTACATTATAAGCTTTCACTTCTGGAGTGTTGGTTTATAGAAAGCATGCCTCTCTTGATATCTGCCCAGATATATCTTACAAAGAGAAGGCATTTGACTGTATCCCTTGTACAGTCCTGAACAATTAGTCATAATTGTAACCATTGAATGACTTTCATGAAAAGTATTAAATTATTGGATGCCAAACATGAAAAAGTTGACATGCAGACAAGAAAACTAATCTTCCTACTATCATAGCAAATGTCCATAATTACTGTCTACTGAGAAGAAAGCTAGTTTATGCAGCTGGAATGATAATTAGTAAGTACACTCCAAACTCTGGCATCAAAGAGTTATAGTGTAGGCACACTGTGGTTTACATTATTTTTTTCAAGAAAGTGAAAAGGCCATCCTACCTTAAAGTAAGAAGATGATTTTAGAGGAGAGGCATTTATAAATCCTGGAGTAGAAGAGTTCAGGCAGGTAGCTACAAGGAGGTAGAAATGAAATCAGTTCAGAATCCTTTAACTCCCCTGCAAGTGGGATTTAGTTATGGTAGTTTATACCCTACATATAAAAATATACAAATATGTTGGGGGGAAATCTTGGAAATTCTAACCTCTTGGATTTGGAAAGAACTTTTCTGCTTCTCCTGGGGTTCACATCTGTCTCCAGAAGGGAAGGTATTTTGTGTTGGCTTTTATCTTTGTGCTTCTCTAGAAGTTATAAAAAATATCCTAAGAGCTTCACTTATATAGCCTAGTAAAACAGGTGTGTCAAGATATTTCAACAGACAAGGCTTCATGTAATTTAAAGAAGTTGTTTTTATCAGCCAGCTTTGTTCATTTCTACTCTATTCAAAACACAAAAAAATATTTTTATAAACTATCAGTGGAGAAAATGAGAGCTTTAAGCAAGTAAGAATGTCTGTAAACAATGATGAGTAAAAAATTCAAGTTAAGAAACTTTTCTTATTGCACAAAAAAAATTAACAAACTTTCCTTATTGCTTTAAGTTTGTTTTTAATTTTAGTGGAATGAAAATGATACAGGCAGAAGACAAAATTGCAGAAATCTAACTTACTCTCCTAGGGATTGATGTGTGCAAATTCATGTCTTTTTTTATATAAACCATTCATCTCATTTAGATACCACAGGGACAGTAAGCTTACATGCCAGCTGAGTATTTGTTCTGGATTGCAAAAAAAGTGATTTGAAAGGTGTTTCGGTTAAACTAGCAGCCTGAAGACTGTTCACTTGTTCAGTAATGTTGCTAATCCTGGAAAGTAAAACTGGTGAAGGGAATAGGATCACTAGTTTTAAATGTCCTTTAGTAAGTTTAATGTGTGACTGAAAGAGAAATACATAGCCAGAAATGGTCACCTGCCTCTCCTCTCACCTGGTTGTGGTCCGTGTGCCCTCCAGGGAGGTACAGCTCGGAGAGTGACGTGTGGAGCTTCGGCATCCTCCTGTGGGAGACCTTCAGTCTCGGCGTCTGCCCATACCCTGGAATGACAAACCAGCAAGCACGTGAGCAGGTGGAAAGAGGTGAGCCAAAGACACGGGGCGGCGATGGTCACGTCAGCCCCCAGGGGCAGCGCCGTGGTGTGTCTGGCTTTCCTGGGACGGAGGAGGGTGCACATGTAGTTTGTAGAGAGAGCAGAGGTGTATAAATCTGTTTCTGAACCCCTTGGACCGTGTGGCTTATACAACAAAAGCCTTTTTATCTTTAAAATATGGACATCTCTAGGCTTTTCTTCACGCCCCCTGCCTGGCGTGGCCCCTGCGAGGGGCGCCACCCAGTCTCTTTGAGGGAAGCAGGCCAGCGTTCCTCAAGCTCCTGTGACACACACACACACCATTAATGTTACTACACACCGAAATGTGGTCAGACTTAAGGAAGTTTGAGAATTTTGTGTAGCTTCTGGAAAAAACCTATGGTGTTCTCAGATCAGAGATGGGACTGAGCAGGTGAAGGTGACACCGAGCATGCATTTGTGGGGTCCACAGCCTTCAACAGAAAGAATGCTTTTGACAAAACGGCAATGCCTTAGCCTCAGGCCACCCAAGAGGGGCAGGTGGTAGAACTGGGTGCGGGAAGGCGACTCCAGCTTCCTTCCTCCCTCGTCCTCCCTCAGACGGCTGTCTTACCACTTCCCAAGGCAAACACACTGTGGGGACACCACCCAGCAACTTGCAATTAAAGATTCCTCCCAGACTTTATAAAGTAGTATAGCTTATAAAGTACTATAGCTTATTCATTTTTAGCTCACTTTTGAACTATATTTATTAGATCTTCATCTCCAAAAACCTGGACAGTACAGGTGATTTTTTTTAAAACTCTGCCCACACCATCTAAAAGCAAATACAACAAATAAAATATGCAATGAATTCTAAACTAGAAGATAATTCTATGGCTTTGTAATATTGAATTGTCTCACTTGCAGGAAAACAACCAGTTTGCCCTATAAAGGGTTTTTGTTTCAATTACACCTACAACATAAGGTACTAAATTTACAAACTGCATAACCCTGCCTTAGGGTTTGTATCTTGTCTCCATTCTAAATCCTCTGTTGTTCTTCTCTTGGGCCTTCAGGATACCGGATGTCAGCCCCTCAGCACTGTCCAGAGGATATCTTTAAAATTATGATGAGGTGTTGGGATTATAAACCTGAAAACCGCCCCAAATTTAATGACCTTCAGAAAGAGCTCACTGCCGTCAAGAAGAAGATCACATAGTGATAGGACGGTGCCACACATTCGGGACTCGCTCCTCCAGCAGAATAATAATGTTCTTCACGTTAACAATAAGTTTATACCACCTTACCTACAACGGTCTGATAAAGTTATTTTTTTTTATTAACTTTTTAAAAAATACATGCCACTTTTTAAAAAAAGGCAAATGCATTCAAGAAACACAGTCCTACCAAGGGCTTTATTAGCTCACCACAGCAATCCTGCCATTTCAGGCCACTGTAAACAGAAAAAGCACAGGCTCTAACGTGAGGGAGGACAGATCTCTTTCCCACCACGACCGTGATGCTTCTCAAGCTCTCCTGCGTCAGCAGCGCCGTCCCAGCTGCTGTCCTGTGCCTCCCCTGACTCCCGAGGTGCTGTGGCTGCCTGGGCAATGCCGTGTTTGCAGGACACCTTCCAGCCAAAACCGGCTCTCCACTCTGCCAAGGCAAGTTTATATTTGTAAACCTCGTTGATATTGGGAATTACTTGGCCCTACTAGGGTTTTTCTTTATTGCCAGAAATAAGTGCAGTGTAACAAACATAACCCTCCTGTATTATTAGCGAGGCGGTCATTTCCCTCCTCTGTTTGGGCATCAGAAGCCCATACATGAGATGCCTCAGAAGTCAGGGGGGCACTGAAGAAAAGGACATCAGAAAAGAGAAGGGAAGGAAAACACAAAATGTCTTCGTATCCAAGTTCTGCCTTTACAAACACACACACACACCCTTTTGACTTTATGGTTTGGATTCACAGAGCAGGTTCTAAGACTTGTTATTCAGGAGTTCATAGAAAAGGCTTTCTTAATGGCAACACACATTTTTTTAGAGAAACTGCAATGCCCACGTCCACAGAACCAGCGGCAGACCTTTGGTGAACCACCTTCACCGCAGAGGGGCCGCCCCAGGGTTAACGCCCTTCACTGGCACCAGTCTCCTGAGCTGTCAGAATTCCACCATCCTAGTTCAGAAACACGGGCACGTGTCACGTACACACACTACCGAGAAGCAAGGCAGGTGGGAGCGGAGTAAATGGTTAAGACGACAAATGGGCACCGTGAGGAAAAAGCTGTAGGACAGCTCCCCTGTTTCCACCTTCCCCCTAGTTACCCTTCCGCTTCTACCCCGACATTCTCATCCTCGGCCGACAGGTGTGCAAGCACCGTCGTGGAGACGCTCTGTGTGAATACACAACAGTCAGCTCTAGGACTCTGTGGAGCTTACCACATGTTCTGTACATAGTTGCCTCTCAGGATAAATGTGTGTGGAAGAGGTGGTCACTCTCAGGGGCAGATGTGCCGTGGGAGCTTGTAATAAGTGCTCAGGTGTGTGTCCAGATAAATAGCACCTTAGTGATTATTTGGTCTTTGTTTATCAGAAGAGCTTATGGGATAGAAAATGCCTCCTGCCCAATCCAACTATTTGCCACCTGTGAATATCACTGCACAGAACTCACACTCAGTTCTTTGAAAAGTAGAAGGGATAACACTGAACAGGAACATGACTTGTGTCTATCATTTCAATCTCCTTGAAGGTTTTGTATGCATTTCATGATTACTACACTCAGACTAAAGTGAAAGCATAATAAACTTGCCCTCAAAATATATTGCAATATTCAAAGCACATTTTTTAAGCAGCACTGTTTTCACTTCTGTCAAATATTGTAAATAAATGGAACTCTCTTTTGGTGGCACACACTGTGGTGAATCAGAGCACAGGCTCATGGATGGAAATTAAGTGCTGTGGTCTTCAGGCCCTTTCCAGCCTTCGAATGTAAGGATAGGATGGGGACATTTCCACTTTGTCAGTATTTCTAGGTGAACCTTTCTATAATAGCCTTTGTTTATGGAAAGCAGCCTCCCATCACTTAGCAGCCTCAATGCTAAGCTCTCAGCAAGGAGAGAAAATGACGGCTTTGGCTTTAATTTCGTAAACAAGACCTGAGGCTTAATCTTCGCATTCTGGTTTAAAGAAGGAACGTAGCATTGATAGTTCACTCATCCCAGCTGTTAGAATTTACAATTCACATCATAACTCTGTGCTTAAATTAAAGACACTTTTCAAAACATCATGACATCTGCAGCGTTTAAATTCTATTTTATTCTTTGTCCCAAAGCAGGCAGTGGTATAGTTGAGGATTAGTAACTCACTGAGAGTCTTTCAGGAGCATATCAATTGTATAGAATATTAAATTTAATATAGGCATATGCATCCAGAAGAACTTATGCAAACCATTTTTACTGCTAATTTTCTTGCACTTAAAGCATAATTTATTCATCCTTTCTGTCACTGATAATTGTTGGAATTATGTACTTTAGGAAGCTAATCCATACCCAAAAAGCACACAAATACTCTTCTGAATTTGCAAGTTGATGTAGGAAAAGAAGGCTTCAAATTTGCACAAAATTCTAACTTGTTTAGTAAGAAAACAGTTGTAACCAAAATTGCCACTGGTCTGAATGTAATTAGTCCAGGTCACAAATCTGTGTTGTTAATGGATTTTTTAACAGTTACATTTATCACTCCCATACAGTTCCTGTCACAACCCCTTAAATTATGAATGCGGGAGGCACCCAGGCGGCCTGAATCTCTGCACCTTTCTCTATCTTGAATCACTAAAGAAGCTTCATGAAAAATATTTAGCTAGTATCATTTTTCCAAAAAAGAAATCTTAATTTTGCATTTGAGTAATCTGCATTTACTCAAAGCCAATGCATCCTTTCTCTTCCAAGAAAATAATAAAGGATTAACAAGTTTTATCTCAACTTTGAAAACCGCAGGTTTTATCTCAGCCCACCCTGCCACTAGGTCCCCAGTGGAAGGCCTCATATAATCATTTCTCGATTCTCTGCCAAATTTAATGTAAGCAATAAAGCTTTTCATTCATAATTTACCACCTTATCACAAATACATTATTTAAACATCTTATAAGCAGATGAGCATAAACCATGAGCCAAATCATATTAGCTATTGTTCAGTGCACATTTTGCAATGTTTTTTTCAGTTGAGGGTTATTTTAAAAACAAAAAAATGTTTAGTTACTGAAATAGATTTAATTTTCTTTAAATCACAATATGGTCTTCTTGTCTATATTATACTCATGTTTCAGTATCACCATATAGTTTGGCTAATACCACTAAGATAACCATGGCTTCACCACACTGGTGTGAGATTATGTCAGGAAGAAAGTGTTCTGATTATACGTCACACGCCGAGGACCTGGTAGCGGGATAAACATAAAACCCAGAGTGCAGCACCACCTCCAGGCGGTGTGTTCCTGTCACTTGGACTTCTCTCTGTCCCTCCACTTCGCAATTCATTTTTGTGAAGTCAGATCAATGGAAATTTTCGGAAAAGAGGTTTCAGCCTCTCTTTTCCCCACATACTCTCTTGATCACACCGTTGGTATTTAAAATGTTTTTATCAACAAAATTGATTGTCCATAAGCACTGTTCTGGGTCATGTAAAGACTGGCTTTTGTATTTAGGAGGTCAGAGCTCTCACACAAAACAGAGAATATTGCAAAATAGAGCAACAATGAGGCAGACAATTGAAAGACACTTTTATGTACTAATATGTTCATTAAATAGAAAGATTTTATATGAAAATGAGTTTATATTACTTTTCTATTATATTGTTAAGTTAGCATGAAAGTTTACCATTAAAATAGTGGTACCTCTTTTACTACTTTGATTTGCTTATACATACCAGAAACTTTATTTTATTTATTTTTCTGTTTTGATGAGTTTCATATCAAATCTGAATATTATATTAGTTGGAAGAATCCAGAATTGTATATTCATTTTTGCAAAAGAAAATACTCATGTACCAAGATTACCTACTTGAAAGAGATATTGGTACAGTCTTACAGTCCCATGAAGTTCTCCTTTTAAAAATAATGCTATGATATAAAAGATATAAACTATATATCTTAGTCATAATTCAATTTAAGAAAATATTTATTACCCATTGAAAACCATCCTACTGCCTCATGCTAATTCAAAGATTAAATTCTGAATTGTTAAGTGTAGACCCTAAGACTCACTTAGCTGCCTAATAAGGACCCAGATTCTTGGGTGGTAGAAAAATCTGCTGTTCTGAATTCCCAGTCACTTTAAACTGCAGAGATGTAATGAGCACAGGCTTCTGTATATCTGTTAATAAGGAACTGAGGCAAGCATGTGCAAAGGCAAAGAGAAGGAACCAGTTATTCTAAGACAGGATGATTCAGCCACTGTGGAGAGTGTGGAATAAAGAGGTACAAAGACTTGGATAGTGTCACTAAGAAAGCTTAAGGAAATCAGTGCCACCAAGCCAGATCCTTTCCAATAGAAAATTAAAAAGATAATGAAGCCAAAAGAAACCATAGAGGTCACCTGCCAGCATGTGAGCAAAGCAAACACCTGTCCCCCTTGCATCTGGAGCAGCTCACATCCCTAGCTCAGAGATGGTGCTGCGCTGAGCAACATTTATACTCATTGTCCTAACAACGAAACGATTGGGTCATGTGTCTTCGACATTTTAGAGAATATTCAAAGTCTGTTTTCATTTGCATTAGCTATACTTAATTTATCTTAAACTATAATCACTGCTTACTCATACCTTATTGGAAATCTTTGGTTGCAATAGGACTTAACCTAGGCTAGTCTCCTAAAAGAAAGCATGCTTATTTCAGTCCTACATCACCTTTGGACTAATGTTAACTAACTGGCTCTATTTTGCCATGCATAATGTGCCCTTTTTGCCCACATTTTTGAGGGAAAAATAAGGATGCACATTATACATGGATAATACTAATTCCATATCTATATAAATGTTTTTAATTCTATTTCTGGTTATGTATTAAGTGTAACTCTAGAAAGCAATAACGAGATCTGTATGTTTAAAACTAAATGCTAAAATTCCTCTATAATACAAAAAACAAGAACCTAAATATAAAAAAATAAGGAATTGAATTAAAAATTAAAATGAGAGACTTTTTTCCCTGAAAGTTTGGGCCAAAAACCTGGGTGCGCATTATACGTGGCAAAACACGGTACCCTCAGAAGGCCCTTAACTGTGACGACCTCTGGGACAACACGGAATTAAGCAGGGAAGAAAGAAAATACCAATTCAATTGCAAAGAGCCATGACTTTATCCTGGTAACACAGGAGGGAAAGGAATTTCAGAAACATCCTAGGCCAGTCCTAGTGCAGCACCACTGATGATAGACATGGGCACAGAGAATGAGACATCCAAACAGGGAGATGAAGGGCAATGACAAAGTACCAACCCAAAGTGACTCAAAGGCTAGCCTCCCAGCAAATAAATGCAGTGTTACTAAGGGAAAGTTAATCCTCAGAAGAAGGTTTTTGAGGCACTTCCTGCTGCATGTTATTTAATGTTACATGCCTCTCAAGTCTCTACAACATTTCTTAAAGAGCACTGAATTGGATATTGATTTGATTTTCTTTATGATCCCCATAATCTCAGGAGGTAGCTGCTGTTGAATAAGAATTGCCCTCACTCGGTTTTCCGGTAAGGCTGCGGACACGGCGGAGGTTCGGCCCACTTCCTAAGGGGAGGCTGAGTGACAGCAAACACGTGCCTGGGGTAGCCAGCGCTGGAGGAGCTGTGAAAGCTCCTACTTTTTATTTTATTCAAGAAAAAATGTCTTGCAGGGAAGACATTCGTGTCTGTGCTTGCAACACGAAGGCGCGCTTAGCTTCCCTCCTTGCCAGCAAACTAGCAGGAGCCCCAACACAAGAATATTTAGGACTCACTCTAAAAAGATTCAAACCTAGAATTTCTAAACTACCTTTCCAAACATTACCATGAGGCCAGCAGGTGTGAGTGTTGTACAAAGTAATAGAATACTCTTAGTGATAGTGACGGCCCCGGTAGCAGAATTTTGTAAATTTTTTTCCTCAGCTTTATCCATTCACAAGCATTTCTTAAACTTCTGCCATGTCTGGTGCAAGGAACCATGCTGGCTGCTAGTTTTTTTTTTACTTCTGATTAGTGTTTCCTCATCTCACACACACTTTTCTTAATCCTTACTTTACCCAAACAGGAAACTCTTTTATGGTCAGCTTTCATCAGACAGCATCATCATTGGCTTAGACCGAAGAGTTTCTCCGCAGGTGCTTAGGAGGCCCCTGCCCTAGAGGGAACTAAGTCCAGGCATCCCTTCACCAGGCCAACTGTGCACCCACTACGTGAGAGGCCCCAGGACAGGTGCAGCTTACAACACAAAGAAAGCCTAGTTGCAGCCCTTCTTGTGGAGACAGAGTCAGGTGGCAGATGTGTATGACGAGTGACACTATCCATGTAGGAGGGAGATCTTCCCAGGACAAGATCTCCGTGAGCCGGTGTGTTCCCGGAAGTGCCCCCTTACTGACTTGGCTGAGTGAGCTCACTAGGTGACCCACCTCCGAAAAAATGTTAAGACACTAACAGCGAGTTCTGTATCTTAAACCCCTCGACATATTCAGTTTTTCCATTCCACTTCTATGCCATTATTTTTTGTTACTTCTTTCACACTCCTATCAGTAAATATCTAAAAGTAGTATCTCAATTGTGCCATGTTCATGAGTTTTCCCATAGCTTCAGAAAAGAGAGTAGCAAATATGAAGCCTTAAATTCAAAATAAGCCAGTCAACCTAGATAAACAGACCCAAAGCACTATTGTATTGACATTAGCTCTGCTCTACCAGTTCCCCAAAGCAGTGACTACCCTTCCTAAAAAGGGTGTGATCCTACAAACATCACACCCTGCTTCTATTTGCCAAGGACACCTTTAATATCAGAATAAGCACATTCTAGATTAGATCCACAGCAGATGCTAAAATGACCTGCTAAGACACCAGATAGCGACCACCAAAGCAGACAGCAGGAACGCACTCCTGTGCGCTCGGTGCCAACACCAACGTGAAACTCACACCCGTGCAATGTGTCTGATCACGCGAGATCGTACCTTATTTTGAAAGCATAGGAAAGATGTCAGCGGGAAATATCAACAGTCTGAGTAACACAGGGTAAGTGGAAGGTGGCCATAAAATGACACCCCAATTCCCGCATTGGAGCAGCAAAACCCTGACAACAATAAATTAGGTTGTGTACGACTCCAAACCCTCATTATTAATATTTTTTTTCATGTAGCTCTTGTCAGATTATACAACCTTGGGGTCTTCCTTTGAGTTACACAAACAATCTTTATGAAACGATAAATTAAATCCTCTTCCCGCAGTGGGTGCTTACATGCCTAACCGCCCCGCATTCAGCCCCTTTGGGGCTGAGAGGGAGTCCAAAGTGTTACTGATTTCCCAGGCACAGGGACCATCCTGGCAGCCTTTGCCAGCTCAACCAGCAAGTTCGGTAGTTCTCAAACATGGATGAGGGAAAGAAAAATGCCCTACTATGTAGAAGTTTTTGTCCACAAATAATTTGACTTGGTAGAAATAAACGTGCCTGCCTGCTCTTGAGAAACGCCAGACTGCCGTGGGCAAATGCAGGGGGCGTGGCGCCCAGAGCCTTGCTCGCTTTGGATGCTTCTCCTCACCCAGGTGCAGCAGTTCCTACTGCAGGGTGGCGCGGAGGCCTGTCGCCTGCTGTCTGAACTGCGTTGCTTCAGTTGCAAGCAGAAGGCCAGTTCCAGCAGAAGTGAACCTATCTGCCATAATTATTCCTCCCACTGGCCATGTACAGAAAATATACAGTTAAATGGAATTCACTGTTTTTGGATTTATGTCAAACAGATTGGTTCTACAAAGTTCGCCAGATTCCGCATCACAAGTACATTTATAATCCTATGATTCTAAATCAAACCCCAGGTATAGTTTCTGCACATCAGATCAAAGATAAAGAGGAATTGGTAGACAGGTCTTGGTTGTTCCAAATTCATGACCAAAGTGGTCAAAGGCATAAAACTCCCTTTCACCGGCTGAGCATCTCCCCTCACTGTGTGGGATGCCGCTTACCCAACGCCATGCCCGACAGACTCAGACGCGCACCATGGACTGAAGCAGGAGCCCCGACCATCCACAGGCTACTTCTGTCCATCATTTTCCCTCATAAAGCATTGAGATTTCTCACTGAAACAACTTTATGAATCAAACATCTAGAAATCTTATGTTTTTGTTTAAATCAGATGGCCTAACTAAGCAACATGAGTGTAATGGGGTCGGTAGTGGGTGAATTCTGCTGACTTCCATCTTCTGGTTTTCTTTGTTTTTTCCTTGGTCTGGTCTGACGAGTGCCCTAAAAGACTGGAGCTCGCTGAACTCATAGCCCTGTAACCACATAGGGTTAGGCAAAGCCAGGTAGATGCAGGAGAACCAAATAAAGCCACCCGAGTCCCAAGAGCAGCACTGACTTCTGCAGGAACCCAAATAAGCTGAAAGCAAAGATAAAATGTACAGATGATGCCCCGGCCGTTTACAAGGCAGTCCACTGGCCTAGTCACTTTCCATTTGCTTCCTCTGCCCTTCGTTAGACTCAGAGTTTGGGGTGATGGGGTGGGTACACACGTTCTGTCTGCAAGCATCATTTTGGGCAAAGCGCTCCAGTGGTTTACACAATTTCCTTTTAGTGCCAAGTTGTCAGGTTAAAGCACCTTTAGTCATTTTTGTTACTGTTTTAAAATAATATATTTGTGAAGTGGATAAAAGAAACACTGGAAATCGGGTGCTTATTAAAAGTTCAAGTATAAAACATACAAACAAGGCCTTTGGTGAGTTTATCTGGCTTTGTAAGCAAGTCTCAAAATGAGTGAGAGCTAAATATATAAAGTAGTTGTCTGCCTTTTACCATTTTTAACTCAGATCTGTATTTAACACTTATTTATTTGTTAGTTTTTACATTCAAAAGAAAAACATTTTGAACTTTGGCTAACATTGTAGGATGTTTTAAAATTGTTTTCTACTTTTTTAAAACATGATATCATCATTTTTGTAAACTTTGATCGTTTTTTGAGTATCCTCTTTTTCTTTTCCAATGGACCAATTACCACTTACAGTTCTGCAGAAACTTTTTTATTGTATTCTTATAATAAATGTAAAATATTTGTAGCCAACTGTGTCTTGTCTTGTTGAATCTTTCCATTATGTTTCTATTTCTCTTCCTTTACCATGTAAATATGCTCTAAGTAGAAGGAAGGAGAAAGATTTCCATGGTAACTGGCCTCCTACAGATGTAACAGCTCATTAAAAATTATTAACTTTAAGTTTCTCCGTAATTAAACTCATGAGTTCTGATGGTAATGGGTGTGTGTGGCTTACAGTCCAATCACTGCTTCTTCTATTTTGAAATCCAACCTGAAATGTATTGTAGTTCAAGTCTCATTTCTCTGAGTGGATAGGCTGCTTGCCAGGCTGTTTTGCTGCTGTTGTCTCCTGAAGGGGTTTGTTTAGATGGAACCGAAGGAGGTGGGGGAGAAGGTGGCTGAGAAGGATGTTTGGAGAGAAGCCGAAAGCTGCTCCTGCAGCAGAACTGCAGTGAGTGGTCTGCACCTTGCCATGGGGCTGAGCCAGTCACAGAGCCCAGAGGAGAATTCTGTCTACCCTTCAGTCAGCAAATCAATAACCTTCCAAAAGCAGCATGCTGTTATTTCCCAGGTTGCTCTGCATTAAACCAAGCCCTCCTCATCCCTGGCGTTGGATTGGGGGGCCACCCACAAGGCAGAGGAATCCACACACATCTGCTCTTGTACCCTGTCCTGCCTCTGCCATGCTCTGACCAGAACTGTAGCTCTTAACGGCCCACCTGGGGTTGCATCCTCATGTTCAGCAGGTTTGATATCTGAAACAGCATCCCAGACAGCCCCTGTTTTTACTGACTTCAATTATCAGGACCGGGGACACCCATCGCCAAGGAGGGATGGCTGTGTAACTGAGATCCCATTCCCTAAGCTGGATGAACAGGACCTGTGCAAGTCCCTAGCGTTCTCACAGTATTTTAAGTCCTACGTCTTGCTGTACAACCTTCTCTAGCTAGTGTTTTTTTCCGGCAGATGGTGCTGATGTATGTTGCTTGCAAAAAGCATGGAGGGAAAAAATAGCTTTTACTAAGGAGCAATGGTTGCTCCTTCAGTTAAAAGCTGAGTCTGAATGAAATGGTTTTTCAAACTCCACAAACCTGAAGCAACCAGACAGACCAGCTCACCTGGGCCACACCCTTGTGATTACAGCTGAGTGAGGCCAGTGGTGCTGCTTCCAAAGGCATCGATGAAACAAGCACCAAGCCTGGAGCTGGGAGACCCAGGTCCTCACTCCTGCAAAAACTGCCACTGGTTTGCAAACTGGAACAAACCGTATCACTGCCTAGACTGGTTTCCTCGCCTGCAAAGTGAGGTTTGACTAAATAATTGCCTAGGATTAAACTGTTTCCTTTTTTTTACCCCTCTCATACTCCCTCACCCCTTTCTCCCCCTTTCATCACTTCTCCTTCCTAAAATCGTCCTAATCTCTTCCAGGGGAATTTCCTCTTTTTAATGTGTGTGGTCCTGATGGAAACATAATTCCACATGCCATCCTACCTCAGAAGCCAAACAATCTAATCCATGTTGTTCTTTATTAATGAAATGGATTCTTTCTTCCAAGACTGAGTCTTAAAGGACAGAAGGAACAGCCAGAGGGCATTCCTTCTAGGGGAATGTTGCTGTAGCTCCTGCTTCCCAGCCCTTTGGAGCACCTTCGAGTCTCTTCCCATCCTCAAGCCTCATGCTGTGTGCTCCCACTGACCTCGGAGCCCCCTGCTAGCCTGGCAGCTAGTCCCCTTCTAGCTGACTGACCCACAGTCCAGCTCTGTTGCTGGCAGTCCAGGATCCTGACTGACACGGTGATCTCTCAGGGAAGGCCCTTCCGGCTCTGAGGGTCAGTGATCTCCCGGTGTTCTCGGAGTCATTCAGGAATCCCTGAACACCAGGACTATTCCGAGTGAGTTCTGTTCCTCTGCTTTTTACAGTGTTGCTGTGAAAATGAGCAAAAAGAAAAACTCCCTGAAGGTTCAGTCATCTAATGTGCTGCTGATTATCCAAACTCAGCCTTTTAATATTTCTCAGCTCTGGACCTAGGTAATTCAAAATTATAAATGTTTCCTTTGCAGTCTCCCTGTGGTAACAGTGGCACCATAGGGTAGTTAAATGGTAAGGTCAGTGGACTAGAACATTGTGAGAAGCTAATTGATCTATCGCAGCAATATAAATGCCAAGAATTAATAGAAAAATAAATGTCACAGAAAGCGGGGGTAGTGACCTTAGAAGCTGTTCTCTTTCGGCTCCTCACCCCCACCGTTCAGGAGGACTTGATCTCATCCCAGGGCAAGGAGGGACTCCCTTTTACACACACACACACACACACACACACACACACACACACTCAGAATGTTTCCTCTTAAGACCTGGATAACAGATAATTAAACTTGTTGGTAACGTTTACCTCAAGGTGTAACGTTCAAGCAGCCCTGGAAGCCTTCGCTCGACCTGCAGTCTTCCCCTCCCTGCCCCCCCCCGCCCCCGCCCAATGTCAAGGCACAATTACGATGGGCAGTGCACCACTGTGGGACTGTGAGGAGCGCATCAAGGATGCACGTGCCTTTTCAAATGCCACGAGTGGGGAAATGGGAGGATTTGCTCCCTGGGGTCCCTACAGGATTACAGTCTGACTTAGCACCGTGCAGCCCTGTCAAAGCCAGGCAGTAACCCAGAAACGAAGCCTTTCCCCACAGCTGCTGCCTTTAGCAGCTTCCCAGGGAATCCCAGATCAGAGAAGGGAACCTCTTCTCTGATACGGTTCACTATTACTTTTCATCTCAGTCAGGTAAGTCTGCCCCAGCCAGGTTAATACACAAACATCTTGTATCAGACTAAATCCAACCTCTCCACATGTAGGTCTGATGAATATGGAAACTTAGAAGAAACCAGCAGATTTACCATCCTTCTTTTCTGCATGTCATCTCTCTCTCGCTCATTCTTCCTTCTCCCTCCCCCATGTACACCTCTCATGTTTTGAAGGGATTCCTATATCAGTACCTCCAATCGTGTTCTATCCCAAAGTAGGTGTTGCACAAATATAATCACTGGTGTATTTTAAATGTATGTTCATCAGATGTTATTTTAGGAAGACCAGAAGTCATCTAAAAGATTAAACATATGGCAAAAGAGGAAAATTATAAATAAAATATAACACAATTATAAAGAAAAGGGAAAGAAATACAAATATCTGAAATTTAAGTATAGCAATTAAGCAATAAATTTCACTGAATTTCCTGACAGTCAAAAAAGAAAAAAAAATAAAGTACTTATAACATTGAGAAAGGTTGAAAATTAATGAGCTATGCAAGCAACTTAAAAGATCAGAAAGTAAGTGATTCTAAAACTTTATGTTTTCAAAGATTAAATATAAAATTCATTCCCAGTGGCTCTCAACTGGGAGGAATTTTGTCCCCCAGAGGACATTTGACAATGTTTGTAGACATTTTTGGTTGTCATAACTGGCAAGTATTACTGGCATCTAGTAGTGGACGCCAGCGTACTGCTGAACATGCCGCGGCGCACAGACACACCTCCGCATTAAAGAGTTACCTGGCCCAGCCCTGGCTGTTGTAGCTCAGTGGATGGAGCGCCGGCCTGAAAACCAAATGGTCGCTGGTTGATTCCCATTCGGGGCACATGCCTGGGTTGTGAATGAGGGCCGCACACCCCGCTAGGGGGCGCACAAGAGGCAACTACACATTGATGTTTCTCTCCCTTTCTTCCTCCTTTCGCTTCTCTCAAAAATAAATTTATAAAATCTTTAAAAAATAAAGAGAATTATCTGGCCCAAAATGTCCATAATGCCATGGCTGAGAAACCCTGAGTTATGAGGCTTCCCTGAATTTCCATCAAGGGAAAGTGGAAGGCTTTCTTCAACTACACAAACTTTAAAGGGACAGTGAAAGACAAAAATTAAAAACATCTTTAATATCCCTGGGTCAACACATTTGATATACTGCTCACACAGAAAAACAGTCTAGATCGGCAAAGCCAAGAGTTGTTTTGTTTTAAACCGTCCTCTGATGAGATTTAAAAAAAAAAAATCTTAGGAATAAAAAGTAAGTATCAACAACTACAGAAACATCAGGGATTGAAAAAGCAGTAAGTAAATATTATGAACTTTATGGTAATAAGTTTGGAAACAAAACTGACAAACTCCTGGAGAAGATGGAAGTTGCCAAAGCTGAGAAGAAATAGAGACTCAGATCAAGAAGGCAGAGTAGGTAGATGCCGTGCTCGCCTCCTCCCAAAACCACATCGGGACAACTACAGCAAAATTATAGAACCACCACTCTGGAGACCCACGCGAAGGTGATCTGAACAGATCTATAGCTAAGGAAATAGAGAAGCCATGTTGAGACTATTAGCAAGGGCAGAGAAGCAAAACGGGCCAGTCCAACACCTCTATGCGGCGGTTAAGAGCAAGTCGGGAGATGCAGGCTGCAGGGCCCACCGAGGACACAGGGACCCCAGCCCCGCACCAGGCTCCTCTGCCCAGGGCACGCCAGGGCCGAGGAGTCCTCACAACACTGGGCTGTGGGAAACAACGTGGATTCCATCTGGGTGAGACGGAGACCTGCTACAGATCCGGGTATCCTCTTCTCCTCTTAAAGGGCTGCTCACTCACAAACGCTTGTCCTAAAGCTCCAGTGAAGGGACAATAGCTTTAAAAGTGTCAGGAAAATATGGGAAGGAACTGAACTGTCTGTCTCCAGGGTGAGGGCTGAGGAGGTAGGTCTCTTCAGGACAGAAGTGATGGCGGACTGTTGTTATTCGTTAAGCTCTCCTTGCACAGAGCTTGCAGGCTCCGGTGAGTGCTAAATCCGAGTCTCCATTAACCTGGCCAACACTCCTCACCACACCCTGGTGGTACCCTGAGAACCTACTGAACCCAACTCACAACTCAGCTCAATTCTCATAAGCAACGGTGTGTGGCCCATGCCATGGGATTTCCTAAAATCTCTCAAGGTCCACAAACCCCGAACAGGTAAGTGCCCTGTACTTTTAGTTAAATGG